AGTGTAATGTTGGTGGGCTTCACTTCCTCTTTGCCAAGTTTCTGCAGAACAGCTAATGGCATCAGATTTATGCTTGCTCCCAACTCACACAATGCTCTTCCTACAGTATAGTTTCCTATTTCATAAGGAATGCTAAATGATCCAGGATCTTTCAGCTTTTGAGGAAGCTTTCTCTTGAGAATGGCACTACACTCCTTTGTCAAAGGTACTATTTTATCATGCTCTAGCTTCCTTTTTCTGGAAAGTAGTTCTTTCATAAACTTTGCATATGAAGGCATTTGCTCCAAAGCTTCTACAAAAGGGATGTTAATTTGTAATTTCTTAAAGACATTCATAAGCCTTTCAAATTGTTCCTCTTGTTTAGGATTTTGGACTCTTTGAGGATAGGGCAGCCTCTTGTATTTTTTTGGAACTATTGGCTTACAAGCTTCCTCAAAGAGTTGCTTTTTGGTTTTCCTCTCAGAATTCATAGGAACATCTACTTTTTCTTCTGAATTGTCTTTCTTCAATAGCTTAAAATTTCCTTGTTGCAGATCTTGTTCAATCTTTCTCTCTTCTGCATCATTTACTTTCTTTTCTGCTGGTTTAGGACTTGCAACTACAGCTCCACTCCTTGTAGTTATGGCTTGACATTGCTCTTTAGGATTGATTACTGTATTGCTTGGAAATCTTCCTTCATCCCTGCTGGATAGTTGTTCAGCTAATTGTCCGATTTGTGTTTCTAGTTTCTTCATGGAAGCTTCTTGGTTCTTGAAGCTTGTTTGAGTCACCTTCATGAATTGCAGCATAGTTTCTTCCATCTCAGTCAACCTCTCATTCACAGGCTTGGAAAATTTCTGATTTCCTTGAGGTTGAGTGGGTGAATTCTTCTGAAAAATAAGGCTGTTGTGTTGCTGGACCTGCATTAGAAAAAGGCAAATTTAAGTTAGAATTCTTTGCAGCAGAATATTGATTATTCCAATTAGAATACTGCTGAGTTCTATTATTCGAAAATTGAAATCCAGGGGGATATGATGGCTGTTGTCTCTGAAAATTATTCATATAATTCACTTGCTCTTGTGGTTCATTTGTGGATGCCTCACATGCACCATTTACATGGTTTTCTCCATAAAAATCACAACTTAGCTAACTGGTAGGCATACTCCCTGTTTGCAGATTGCTGATTTGTTGTGTTAAGGCAGTTAATTGTTCTGAAAACATTTGATTTTGTAGCTGATTCTGTGCAAGAAAAGTTTCCAGAACCTTAGCTTCATGACCAGAATTTCTTCCTTGATTTCTTGAGTTTGAATTCTGATACATTGAAGATGCCATCATCTCAATAATTCTCTGAGCTTCTTCTAAGGACTTTGTATTTAATGAACCTCCAGCAGCAGCATCAACCATTGTTCTTGTTACTGCATTCATCCCATTATAAAAAGTTTCCAATTGCATCCAATCTGGGATACAATGATGTGGACACCTTCTAAGTAATTCTTTGTATCTTTCCCAAGCTTCATACAATGATTCTCCTTCTTGCTGCACAAAGGATGTAATTTCTCCTCTCAACTTAGTAGCTTTGGATGGAGGGAAGTACTTAGTTAGAAACTTATTCACAAGTTCTATCCAGGTTGTGATGCTTCCTTGTGGTTGAGCTTGTAACCAACATTTTGCTCTATCTCTCAAGGAAAAAGGAAATAGTCTTAATCTGATAGCTTTTTCACTAACTCCATTTATTCTTATGGTGTCACATAGCTGCAGAAAATTTGAAATATGTAAGTTAGGATCATCAGAATTTCCACCAGAAAACTGATCCTGTTGGACTAAACGTAGTAGGGCAGGTTTAATCTCAAAATGGTTGGCTTGAATAGTTGGCCTAATTATAGAAGAGTTAAAACCTTGCATGTTAGGAATAGCATAGTCCCCTAATGTTCTAATTCTGTTCTGCTCTGCCATTTCTATTGCTGGATTTGGTTGTCTCAAGGATGTAGATGTTCTTTTCACTCTAGGATTACTCTGAAATTCTGGAGAATGGACAGCTTCTAATTCACTATCACTCCCTATGACTTTTTCTGCTCTAGACTCTTTTCTTAATCTTCTCAAAGTTATGTCTATGTCAGGATCAAAGACCAGAATTGATTTATTCTTGTTTTTACCACGCATATACAAATTAGATTAAAACAAATTTAGACTACAATTGATATTCAGAAATGCACAATAGAAATCATGCAAAATCTATCAGTAAAAGCATATAGAAACTTAAATCTAGCAGTTACAGAATTGTAAAATCATGTAAAAATATGCAGAATGGCAATTACAAATATGAAGAACAATGAAAACTGAAATTATGCAGGTAAACAAGGATGTAAAAATTCTATGCAGCAGACAAAAATATTATGCAGAATACTACACAAGGTGTAGTAAAATTATGCAGAAAGCAATTTGAAAGCAAAGCAACAAAATAAATGCTCAATCTAGTTACTTTTCTACTACTAATGATATTGAAATGCAAAATTCCCCGGCAACGGCGCCAAAAAGTTGTTGTTCGCAATCTAACACTAGCAAGTGCACTAGGATTGCAGCAAGTAATGAGTAAATTTAAGATCCAAATATCGTCTCCACAGGGAATTTAGGATTCAAATACCACTTCATAGAATTATAACCATTTAAGCTTTTTTGAAATTGGAAGGAGAGTAGTAACATGTAATAACAGCAAACTAGAACAATTAAAAGTAAAATGAACTTGCAGAAAACAGAACAATGAACACACAGTTATGTGATAACAGAGGAAGAAACCATAGCTATGGAATTGCTTCACCAAAACTCCAATGTTTAATCAATAAAGTTCTGAATTAACAAGCAATTGGAAAGAATGACAATCAGTTTCACATTATATTATTCAGAGGTTAATTCCTTAACTCAGTGAACCTAACATTCAATTAAACCATTCTAATTCCTTAGATCTGATTCAATTCAATATTGCTTTAAGTGTAAGAAACCAGAAGATTGCAAGATCAAAGTTCCTTATCCCTAAGAAAACTATAATCTCGGTGATTGGTTCAGATCTGAAGAACAAATTCAATTTACATTGACAAGAGTTCCTCTGAATTTAGTTAATCAAATTTTCATTCAATTTCCACGTGAAGTTCAGAATCAATCACTCAATCTATTCCAAAGCTTGAAATTCAGATCCAAATCAATTCAACATGTTCATTTCAGATCTACAATCCCTAACTATGAACGAATTACACAGCCATGGCAGCAGAAAAAAGAAAAGAAAGAGAAGAAGAGAAGAAGAAACTCTGAAACACCATGGAAGCTTGCTCCACTCCAATTCCTCTTCGTGAAGCTCCAAGATTCGAATCCTCACTCCTCTCTCACGCTTCCTCTAACGAGAATCTAACTAAAAAAACTGAAAATGAACCGAATCCCCTTTTTTTGGATCGTTTCTGGTATTTATAAAATTTCTCAGATTTTCATATCATCACTTTTATTAGAAATAGTAGTTACGCAGAGAGTTTTTGGTTGCGCGTTAACACTTTTCCCAGAAATAGTGGCCACGCGTAACTTCCTGATATTGAGAGCTCTCTAGAACTATCACTCTTGATGATAAAAGTGACAATGCAGAGCCAAGGTAGTTGCGCGTTATCACTATTGCTGATAAAAGTGACTACGCGGAACTCGCCAAGTTGAAGACTCTCTGGAACGATCACTTTTGATGACAATAGTGGTTACGCAGAGCTTTCCTGATATTTTGCCTCTATGGAACTATCACTTTTAATGATAAAAGTGGTAACGCCCAGGCTTCACTTCTTCTTTGAGCTCTGAAGTGATCACTTTCACTGACAATAGTGATCACGCCCAGTCTGCAATTTCTTATTCTTGTGTTTTTGGAGTTCAGACTTGCTTCTTTCCTCTTCCTTGTCATCAAACCTCCATGGATATGGTCCTTGCTCAATTTATTCCTGCAAAAACAAGATTAAAAACTTAATTTCTAAGCAAAAATTTCACAATTGCTAAAATAACTACAAATTTAAACAAAACTTCAATTCCTTCTCTTTTTCTGAGTTTTTCTGCTTTCTTTATATATTTTTCTTATCAAATGTGTTAGAATTATGCTAAAATATCAGTTAAAATATGGATTCATCAACATTCTTACTCTTTGACTCAACTTTTTTTCTTTCTTGATGTTGCTTTTTTCTAACAAAAACTTCTATTTTTAACTTATTTGAACTTCTCTCTTTCAAAAATCCTCCTCCCCAATTGAAGTGTTTTGGTTCAAGATTGCTTCATTTTTACGAGACTCTATCCTCCTTTGATTTCTTAAAATAAAAATCTTAAAATAAATAAATAACAGACAAAAGAACCCTAATACTAATAGGACTATTTCTTACTTTCATCCATTGATGATAGAAATTTTAGTTTGTTAATTTTAATTTTATATAGTTATATTTTTATTATAAATTAGGTATTGATTAGTTAAATTTTAATTCTTAATAAATACATGTTAAATTTATATTTTAAATAATTACTTCTTAGTTAAATTTTAATTCTTAGTATAAAAATACTAAATTTTATTTTACATTAGTTAATTGTTATTTAAAATTTAAATATTATGAAATAGAATTTATACTTTTATTGTAATATTATGAATACTACCGATTGATGTAACGAAAAATACTTAAATTAACTATATTAATTTTTCTTTACATTTTTGATAATTAATTTTTAAAAATATTTTTTTAATAACAGAGTCAAAGAAAGGTGTCTTGTGGTGTATAAAAAAAAAGAAAATGAAAGGTGGAGAAGGATTGATTTCTATAATTTCTATTATATAAATTTTGTTATAACATAAAAATAAATATTTTTTATTTAAATATTTAAATTAAATATTTTTAATTGGTACGGACGTCTATTAAAAAATAATTTATATATTTATTTTTATTTATCTAAATAAATAAAAAATTCTCTATTTGTAAAATAGTAGACAGGTGATATAAAATAACCGTAGAGAAGCTAAGCAAACCAACCCTGCCCTAAAAATTAAAAGGGGGAGGAGAGGAACGGTGACTGAAACAGTAAGTAACATGGGAACTTCTGCAAACGACGTCGCCTGTGACCAAAGCGCCATCGTCCACAAAGGCGTCGACTATGCTCAGTACTTCTGCACCTATGCTTTCTTATACCATCAGAAGGAGATGCTCTCCGATCGCGTTCGCATGGACGCATACTTCAATGCTATTTTTGAAAACAAATGTCACTTCACTGGCAAGGTCACCATCTTCATTATCTTCTCTTATTTTCCATAAAATTGCCGTTTCATTTTGCATTTTGGATTAACAAAAAAATAAATAATACTAATGAAAATTATGCAGTTGTTGAAATGGATTAAGTAGGGTGGTAGTAACCTTGCTATTGTCATATAACTTGAGTGCGTTGGTTAATGGTTGGGGTTGTTAGTTGTGTTTATGTTATTATGTGTGTGTGATTTTGAGCTTACTTGTGAACTGAATGGGGTGAAGACTGTGTTGGATGTGGGTACTGGAAGTGGAATTCTTGCTATATGGTCAGCACAAGCAGGTGCTAGGAAGGTTTATGCAGTGGAAGCTACTAAGATGTCTGAACACGCACGTGCGCTTGTCAAAGCGAATAATCTCCACCACGTGGTTGAGGTCATTGAAGGATCGATGGAGGAAGTTACCCTGCCAGAGAAAGGTTAGAGAACTGTTAGGGCCCTGTTGGGTTTGATGGAATGTTTCCTGTTTTCGTTGATAATTACAAAAGTGACATCTTGTTTTTACTCTCTTTTTATATTCAAAGATTTGCATGGCATGAAAACAAATTTTTTGAGGTGCCAATCCTTGAAAATAATAATTTTTGGTAATTGTTGGTGAATAAGAAATTGAAACACAAATGTTTTCTTAAAGTTTAAACTAAACAAACACCTTGCTCTCTGTTTTATGAGTAAGTGTGAAAACTTTTCCTCTATATCTAAATTATGCTTTGTTGAACATCATTGTGATTGCTGGCCTTAAATGTTGTTGTGTGACTTGCAGTTGACGTGATCATCTCTGAGTGGATGGGTTATTTTCTCCTACGTGAATCTATGTTTGATTCAGTTATACATGCTCGTGACCGCTGGCTCAAACCTACAGGAGTGATGTATGTATTGTTGTAACTATTTTTCTGCCAGAAAGCAGAGAATATGTGTTGAATTTTGTTACATTTACATGGATTAATGTTTAGTGGCTTCTCAATGTGCATCTATTCCTTACCATTCTTCCATTTGTCTTTCTAAATTGTGATAAAATGGATAGTGTAGTTCATTCTTCATATGATATAGTTGTAACTTAGTATTTTTAGTCACTATGTATTTGGTTTTCTTTCTACATTATGTTTGCAAAATGTTGCCAACAATATTTCTTTTACATAATTAAAACTAGGAAAATGTTAATATAAACTCTTAGGGTCTGTTTGGATGGGGAGAGGGAATAAAAATCATGTGGGGCCCAAAAGAACCCCAAAATGAAGGGAAGTTGGGAGGGGAGGTTTGAGTTAAAATATTTTTTATAATTATCATAAATAATTTTTTAATATAAGTTATTTCTTTCCACTATCTTTTTTACTCATCTAAATAAGTGGAGGATATTTTTTTCATTTCTTTTGGTCCTATTTCAACCAATCCAAACACATCTTTTTCACTCTATTTCTTACCTTCCTATTTCTTTCCTCTATATTTCACCCCTCATCCAAATGGAGCATTAAGGTTAAATTTAAGCAACTGAAAGTAGTAAGTTTTTATTGAGAAAGGAAGTATTTATTGCATTTAGAATAAGAAAAGTATAATGTTGTATTTTTCAATACAAACTTACTACTTTTAGATGTTTAAATTCCTCTATTAGAGCTGATGCTAACAAAACCATTAAAACTAAGAGCCTACACAAGGCAAAAGTTTTCTTCTTTGTAGTGTATTCTTTAGTTATCAACAACAAGGTAGTTAGTATCGCATGAAACACGATACAAAACTACCGAATCGATACAAATTTGTGACGCAGGGATAAAAATCATGGGAAGAATTGTTTTGCATGCAGAATTAGGTCATGAATCGCAGGAATCCTAGGAATTGCTACTGAACCACTATTCTCCTTGGCGGTGCACAATTCAAGTGCAAACCAGATTGTGCAAGATTGGGGTCGGGTCAGCGTGGCCGGGTTCAGTAAAAACCTAAAAGCTTTTTTTTTTTTTGAAAATTTTTTTTTTGGCAAAAATACCAATTTCTATGTAATACTGCCTCTGCCAGTCAACCAACTCTTTAATATTGAAAGAAAACCTTGTTTTCCCATTCCTGCGCTTTCCTCTTCTCCACACACGTTGTTTCATGCTATTCCCTATTGCATTATTGTCTACTAGTGCATTATTGTGGTTCTCTCAACTTTCCACTCCCTATTCAATATTTCTACTCGTCCCCCCCCCCCCCCCTTTGCCACGTTTCCTATTTTTCATTTGGCTTCTGCACTTCTTTTTGCTTACTGTTTGCTGTTTAGGGAGACAAATGGGTCTTACCAGAAAAACAAAAGAAGGTGATATTATGTGAAAATGCTGTGAAAGTGTTCCCCCCCAAGGGCAAATGTAAGTGCCTATACAAGTGTTCAAGATGAGGTAGAAGAAATATTCATCAAACTATTGGAAGAGAAAGAAAAGAAAAAGGGTGAAAATAGCTTGGAGTATTTTGAAGAAGCTAAGATCTAAGATGCAAGTGGTCATCAAAAGGGATGTGTGGATTCTTTTGTTAGTAAAAAAAAATGGAGGGACATCTAAAACTCTAAAGCAAATAACAATGAATACAATGTTCAAAGATAGAGATGTTGTCATTCAAGAAATTTGCAAATGCATATATGCTAATGACTTTACATTTAATTTGGGAAGAAGTACCCATTTTATTGAAATGGTGAAAGCTGTTGGAGAATTTGGTAGGGGTTTAAAACCTTCTACTTATCATGAAGCAAGAGTCTCTTTTTTGAAAAAAGCAATTGATAGCAACCATCAAAATTTGGAGAAATACAAAAGTGAACGGGAGAAATAGGGCTGCACTTTGATGTGTGATTGTTGGACAGATGTGAAATCAAGGTCACTAACTAATTTTCTTGTTAACAAACTTAGTGGGACTGTTTCTAAAATCTATTGATACTAGTGATGTAATTAAGGATGCCAAACAAATGTTTGAATAATTGGATAGCAAGTTAGATGAAATTGGGGAAGAAAATGTAGTGCAAGTTGTAACAGATGGTGCTTCTAACCTTGTGGCAGCAGGAAAAATGTTAGAAGATAAGAGAACTAAATTATTTTGGTCACCTTATGCAGCCTATTGCCTTGATTTAGTTCTAGAGGATATTGGAGAGAGCTTCCAAATTTTTATGCTACCAATACAAATGCAAAGAAAATCACAACTTACATATATAGGCATACATGGGTCCTTAATTTGTACAAAAAGCATTCCAAGGGAAGGGAGTTAGCTAGACCAGCCATAACAAGGTTTGCATTGCTTCTCTCACATTAAATTGCATTATGCAACAAAAGAATGCTCTTTAATCTGTTTACTTCAGAAGAGTTTGCGTCTGGCTAAGCAAGTGATGAGCATAGTGTTCAGTGATGAGAAATTTTGGAAATCCATCAAATATTGTCTAAAGTGTGTAATTCCACTTGTGAAAGTACAGGACTTGTAGATGGTAATTCAAAACCAGCCATGCCATATATTAATGTAGCAATGGAGCAAATTGCTGAAAATTTTCAAATGAAAGAGTTAAGGGTATAAACAAGTGTGGAAGATCGTTGATACTACATGAAACTTACAAATACATAGACCTCCATGCATCTGTCTATTATCTCAATCTTAGGTAAGAAGAGATTCTTAATCTCTTAAATTTCATAGAATTGCCTATTCATCCTTTAATTTTTTTTATTGTTTGGTTAGGTACCATTATGACAAAAGCTTTAATAGAGCTAGTGAGGTTTTGTATGGTTTATATGAAAGCATAAAGAATGGTTTCAGATAGAAGGAAAATATTTTTAATTGATCAACAACTTGAGAAGTTTAAGCCCAAGAGATTGTTTGAAATGAATATGGCTATAGACTTATAGACAAGAAGCAATCCGGTAACTCTTCAATCTCCATACTTTGTTAACTTTACAAATAATAATAAATCAATAAGTAACATGACATATTTTGCTAATTGTTTATACATTTTTTGTTTTGAATTTTGATAGCTCTTTGGTGGGAGAGTTATGGTGGAGAGGGTAAAGAGTTGCAAAAGGTAGCCAAGAGAATTTTGAGTCTTACATGTAGTGCAACAGGATGTGAAAGGAATTGGAGTATATTTGATCAAGTACATACTAAAAGAAGAAATTGCTTGGAACAACAAAGACTAAATGCACTTGTGTATGTTAATATAACCTACAATTAGAGAAGAGAGGAGAGAGACTTATGATCCCATATGCTTATTTGATATTGAATCAAATGATGAATGGATTATTGAAAAAGAGGATCCATGCTTACCAAATGATGCTTCATGGATGGATATACTTTTGATGACGGAGCTCTAAGCAAGAAAAGAGAGAGAGGTATTTGTTTAGACTAAGAAGTAGAACCTGAACAAAAATACTAAAAGTTAATTACTCAAATACTTATTGTTATGCTTGTTCCATTATTTTGGTTTTATAGGTCCAAGAAACTTAAATGCCAAAGCTGATTAGAAGAAAAAATCTATAATAGGAGATGAAGATGAAATTGAAGACATTATTAGACATGGGGTGGAAGAGAGAACTTTTTGATTTTGGAAGATGAAGAGGATGAACTAAGTGACATAGAACTTGGGGATGATGAATGATCATACACTATTCATTTGAACTTTTGCTATAGTGACTTGCTGTCATTTTTTATTTATCTTTTTGAAAGACTATATGGAATTTGAGTAGTCACTTTTTTTTTTGGTAATGTGACTGACTGGTATGATATGAATCCTAGTTTGCTTAGAAGTGTATGTCACATTGTTAGCTATGTACTACTTGACTTTAAAATGTTAATATATAGATGTTTTGATATTTCTTTATGTTACAATGCTCTTATATTTATGTTTTAAATTATTGATCTACGATTCAAGATACGATTCAATTCACGATTCAAAAAATAAGTCTTACGATTTACAATTTGAATCCCAATTTAACTACCTTGATCATCAGAACAGGGATAGCCTCAAAATCATTAGTCATTAGTCAACAATAGACGGAGCTAAACTGGACACAGAAAAATTTAAAACCTTTCCCAGGTCCTATACTTTGAGGCAAAAGAATAAGGAATGCATTTCCCAGGTCCTATACTTGTCAATCTGTTCATTAGTTGTTTCTTTGTCGTCGCATGTTGTGCTTATTGTGCTCTTTTCGTTACACTACCAATAGGGATAGCCAATATATAAATGATTTGGTTATTGCCTTTGAAGGAAACTGTTTGTCATGAAAGTAGTTATGATTGTTATGAAAGTCTTTAGTGTGTATGAGTATTTCTTTGGTAGCTTTTGGTGTTACCTTTACAATTGGTGATTTAAGAGACTATGTTTTGGCAGGTATCCTAGTCATGCTCGCATGTGGATGGCACCTATCAGGACTGGAATGGGAGATCACAAAATGGATGATTACCAGTCAGCTATGGACGATTGGCACAACTTTGTTGATGAAACAAAAGCCTTTTATGGTGTTGATATGAGCATTTTAACGAAGCCTTTTTCAGTGGAGCAGAAGAAATACTATCTACAGGCAAGTTGTATACTTCCAGCGTGCCTTAAGTTTATTGGTATATTCTTAGTTAAATGAAAATTTGATCATGGTTGGAAGTCCATCAATTTTTATACTAAGTTGGTGATACAAAGCAGAGGAACACAACCAGAATTCCACGGCAAGAAAGGTTAGAAGATAGAAGAAAATTGAGGTTGTTATTTGTGTAATGACGGAATTACAAATAGGATAAACTGATTACTGCCTTAGAGCAAGGCTTCTGTAGAGAGCTAGAGCCCTCCATTCATGACAAACTTAATAATTCCCAAAAGAGATCCCTTTCTCACGTATATAGCCTATTTATTAACATTCACCCACCACCAGCAACTAACTCTGCTTTTCCTTCTCTCACTGTCAGCTTTTTAATTTTAGTATAGACATTCCAGACCATGGGGCCATTAAATGATTGATGGATAATTTGCCCTTTTGGACCACATGACTCATTTTGGGTCCTAGCTGTTGGTCTCTGTATTTGTTTAAAATTAGCAAAATGTGTAAAAGTTAAATTTGGTATCATTATCATGGTTGTCAAATTTTTGTGGAGGTTCATGCACAATTCTGTGTGTTCTACTGAATTCAACAATCCTAAAGCCAACTTAGAACTCATTTTGCTGGGATTGTGGTAGGATTGCATGCTGGAGTGTAGGAAGCCAGGGAATTGTGCATTCCTAAGATCGTTCAAGAGCACATGTAGTAGGTCAGGCTACTTGCAGAAAATTCCTGATTCAAAAATTACTTTACCTACCCTAATGTAAAATCAATTTTAGAAATCCTCTTCTAGCCTTTTCATTGTGTGAGTCTCTCTTTGATCCAGAAGCCCTTGCTGATGTGAATTTATGGGCACCTTGTCTGCCATGACAGTGTGCAAATGTGAGTGAGTGAGTGCTTGTGTCAAATGGATCATGAGGGATATGTGCAGTCCATGTGCAAGTGTGTGCACTGCATTAAATCATTTTAAAAATAAAAAAAAAACAAACTGGTTTATTGCAATAAAAAATATGGTAGTTAAAATTTGATTTGAACTAAAAATAAGTGAATTTTCCTATAGCATCTGTTATGAGTCAATTTTGTTCTAATATTATTCCTATAATAAGCTAGCCATCCTCAGGAAAGGTTAATTTTGATACAAGAATTTAAGAACAGAAAGCACTCTGAATCAAATATTGATTCATAAGTGAAGCATTTGGCAGCAAAACAAATTGCTGTGTGCATAGGAAAAAATAAAGCGACAGATAAGAGACAGAAATAAACAGATTGATTTTTTTATTGTCTCTAGCACCTCAAAACAACCAATTTACATACCAAAACACATTATCAAGCTGGTCAATCTAAGAAATAGCTTAGAATTGTGGATAAAAAATTCAGAGGTCATACTAAGCATAAACATAGCTTTATCCTTTACACTCTGGTCACCTCTGAAACAATTGAGAACATCAAGTACACACTAAAGTGTAGGAGAGAGAGCATAATTCACTAATAACTGCCAAATTAAGAACATGGCCACATTAAATAGACCTTAACTAATCCCTCAAAAGATGCCCCATTGCAGCCAAGAGTTGATTGTCATAGATGTTTGGATGTAAGGTACTCCAACAAATTGGGAGTGACCAATGTTGTCAAGATGAGGATCTCTTCTGCCCTCTTTGTTAGTCAAAAACATTTCCCTCTCATCTCCGATCACTCTCATTTCTGATCTATCTCTCTCCTTTGATCTCGTTCTGCATTTTACTGGGGTGTCTCTCGTCGTTGCTATTGTGCCGCTATGGATTGGTGTTTGGCCACGTGATGCTTGCTGTGGTGAAGTATTTCTTTTTTCGTTGTAGACAGTGTCTAGGTGTGGGTGTGCACTTTTGAAGTGTAATGGAGACAGGGAGTGAAAAATCTGATCTTGCCCTTGCTATAGTGCCGTTTAGAGTTTTTTTAAAGGACAAAATGGACTTTTTCCACCTAAAATTTTTTCCTTCTCTTCTCATGCGGTAAAATTTTTGAAGGGTCAAATTAAAGGGTTCTCTCTGCACTGTTTTTCTTCCTTCTTCCTTCTTCTCTAAAGCCAACTTCTCCTTCATCTTCTTAACCATTTTTGCTGGAGATGACATCTTTTCCGGATGTTTTCTGGCAACTAAGTGGAAGGCCCTGTTTTTTGACATCCATTTTCCATTTTGCTTCTGTGGGCTCTGTCCTTCTCTTTTTTAGTTTTTCCCTCTCATTCTGTTTTACTCCCCCATTTTTTTCCTTTTTTCCTTATTATTGTTTTCTTGATTTTATTTTTCTGTTTTCACTTCCAAGTTTCCTTCTCCATATTTATTTTTAATTCTCTACTTTTCCATTATAACTTCAGTTTTTTTTTCACTATTTTACAATCATTTTATTCTTTTTTTCTCAAAACCGTCCTTTTTTTTATATGTAGTTAGTTTTCTAGTTTTATATCAACCCGCCAGGGCATCCGCCATTACTTTATGGCAGTTTTTTTGCTTTCCTGCATGACCCACCATTGATAACATTGCTCTGAATCACATGTCCACTATTTCTGACGACTTGCTAGAGTACGCATATTCCACGAACAGAATCTAATCAAACACTTCTAGGCTAGCTTCTCTTTATCCATATTTGTCTAAACTTGCTCATTTAATACTACATCCAAGCACCGATGTAGTGGCTCTAGTTCATTGAACAAAATGTACTTGAGCCATATAGTGCATTATTTCTCAGTAATGACCTAGCCCTAGATCAATATCGTTGTGATTTGTAATGGGTTTTGACAAATTTTATGTTAGTTGTTGATATCCTATCACAACTCTCTTTTACCCATGCTTGGAACCAGTTAAGAGACCATAGGTGAAGTTAATTGGTTTAATTAAAATAATTTGGATATTTTAAAACGGTTTGGACTGCTTTGTGGTTTGGTTTATTTCATTTAAACAATTATTTTGAGCACCCCTAGCTGCGATACTTTGAGACTGCTATTTTAGCGCTCTGCTCTTACACTACATGTTACAAATTACAATCCCTTGTTTATGTGCCTACTTCCCTTGTCAGATCCTAGGATTGATCTACAAGTTTGACTATAAGCAACTACATAAAATTGAAATATATGGTTGCAAAATGATGAACTTGAACTGTTTATTATTTGCTAGTGTTCCTGGATATATGAATATTGCACATTGAAACTAGCTCCTGTCAGGCTAAATCAGTGCCAAAAGATAATATAGAAAAATAATTTATTTGGTAACATTGAATTTTCTATTGCACAAGAAACTTGACTTATGCTTGCTTTGATTTCTGTAGACATCATTGTGGAGCAACCTTCATACACATCAAGTCATAGGAACTGCTGCTATAATAAAGGAAATTGATTGTTTAACTGCCACAGTGACTGACATAGAGAAAGTTAGATCAAAATTTTCTTTGTCAATAACCATGGACACCGCAAAATTGTGTGGATTTGGCGGGTGGTTTGATGTACATTTTCGGGTAAATTACTCTGACCTTTTAATGGCATTATGACTACCAAATATAACAAAGCCTAATGTTTCCTGTTTTTACTTGTTAGGGAAGATGTGAGGATCCAGCTGAACATGAGATTGAGTTAACTACAGCTCCTAGTGTAGATTATGGTACACATTGGGGCCAACAGGTTTGTATTGTATCAACTTGGTGGTTTTGTCTGCAAAATAACTTATATTTTGAATGAACACATGCGATTCCATCTTTTAAAAATGTCAAAGAACTTCCCTCGTAAATTTATCACTTTATAAAAATTGCTTTTGATTTTTTAAAACTGGACCAATTAGAAGTATTGTATTGAAAAATGTGTTTAAAAGAATGTGTTGTTAGTATTACTGTGTCATATTATTGTTGAGATTAATGTATGTAAATATGGTAACTATGTGAATAGGATAACTATGTAAATAAGGTAGCTGTGTAATTAGTGTGATCCTAGATAACTGAAAATCTGATATTTTTTATGCACTATTATTAAAAATAGATAGTTTCACTATGTATTCAAACACAATGATTCATCCTATGCCTTCTCGTTTCTCTCTTTCTCAACATGGTATTAGAGTTTGATGAGAGGGCAATCCTAATTCATGCATTCTCGGTGGGCCTACTGCTCATTAGCGTAAAATTGTTTCAGAAATGTTGAATTCTCGGTTTCTGATTTGTTTTTCAACATTTTCTCTCCAGTAGGTACTGTTCACAACTTTTTTCTCTCTTCAGTGCTGCCCATGGTTGCACTTGACTTGTTCAAGGCTGAACCTGCCATTTTTGCCAACCACATCACTGCTCCTCTTTCTACTGAGCAATTGGATAGCAAAAATTATACTGCTTGTGCTTTAATATTTGTCTTGTTTGACAAGATTACAAATGAGTGTTTTACCACGAAGGCTGAAACTATTGCTGAGGATAATCACCCTCCGTGAAAGAAGATTGATGTCCAACTTTGTTGTATAATTAAGGCAACCCTTCATCCCTCTATTCGATTTGTTTTTTGTGCCACTGAGACGTGAAGCTATATGGTCACTAGATAAGTCTCTATATCAATAACACTCAAGTGGCTTTATTGGTCTGTCATGACCTTGTGACTATTGTTGGCGCTTGATTTCTTGAATACTTTGTGGCTACATCCCTCTACTCTTGATTGTGTTGTTTCATTTACCAAAGATTCTATTAATCTGTAGGATTGAATTTCAGGGAGGATGATTAACTTCAGATGTGAGTGCTAATGTCTGTACCAACTTTTACAATCCTCTCATATTGGTTCAGTAGTAGACTCTCCACTCATAGTTCCCACTCAACTGTGCCCTCACAGTCTTGTCAACTTGAAGTTGTTAGTGTTGGGTCTCTTCAAGTTGTTTGTCAAGCACTTAGAGTCCTATCTTGCAAGTGTACTAGGTAGTTATAGTAAGTAATAAAATTCAGAATTTTTAAGTTTCGAGTATCGTTCTTAAGGATTCATTCAATTACCACTTCATAGATCAAAAGGCTATTTGAGCTATTAAAAACTTGAGGTGTTTTGAACATTTGAAGAATTAAGCAATAAATATCAGAGAGTAACAGCAAAACAGAGTGAAGAATTCAGAAGTGAGATGATAGATAAAATGGAGTTAGGAATGGTTTCACCAATTTGTCAATTGCAAACATGAATGTGCTTTGAACTCCTAAGTTTTTTGATTGATTGATGATTAATTTTACTAATTTAATCAAAGGTCAATATCTTAACTCAATAATCCTAATATTCAATCAAATATTGCATTAGGTATTAGAAATTAATAGAACACAAAATCATGAATGTTTATTCCTAAGATATTAATAACCTTGGCATTCAATTCAGATATGAGAAATTAACTCAACTTCCATTGATGAAAATTCTCTTTCTATTAAATTGAATAGTTCATCCAATAATTGCATTAAAGAAATAATTAAATGTTCAATTTAATCAAGATCTTAGGTTTCAAATCCACAATCAAGTTACAATATCAAAATTGGATCCATCAATCCCTAACCAAGGAGAATTAAAACATTACAAAAGAATGAGAGAAAGAAAGTAAAAGAGAAGTTGAAGATGATCTCCATGAATCTAATTCATAGCTTGATTCCTCAAGATTTAAGCCTTGAAATTTGCCCTCAATCCTCTCACTCCAACTCTCTAAAAGTGTGGAAAAGAAAAGAATAAGAAAAGATCTTAAAAAATTTGAGTTTAAAGCTATTTACAGATTTTCCATGATTCTAGCATAATCACTTTTGGTGCCAAGAGTGATTACGCGTAGCTTCTAAAATAACAGCATTCTAAAACACTTTTTTTCTGCAGTAAAAGTGTTTATGCGCAGGGTCTTTCTCTTGACAGCTTTCTGGAACACTCATTTTTAGTTGGGGAAGTGTTTACGTGCCTCTGGAATGTTTACTTTCTCCATTGAAAGTGACTATGCTAAGCCAAATTGACCTCTTAAAGCTTCCAATTCATGTGTTTCTCTTGGAATCTTCTACAAAACTCATTCAACAGCAAAAATTGCATAAGAACACTATTAAATCCAAACAAATTGAGTTATTTCAAACAAAATTGAATTATTTGAACAATTATCAATTTTTTATGAGATTTTAACCTTCCTAACTATAATTTTCTATTAAAAAACTACTAGAAAACTAACTGAACATCCATTAAAATATGGATTTATCATTGTCTTCTTTATGTTATAATTCACACCAATTAGGTAAACATGTTCATAGTTCATTTCCTAGTTGTGTCATTAGTTGCGTTTTGTCTTCCTTTGTTTTAGTTCATTCATATGTCTTGGGTCTTAGTCATGTCATCTTTTGTTTGGGGTCAAAATACTTAAAACACTTTTATTAATGATTTTTATATATATATATTTGGCTTTATTTAATGAAAGATAATTTTGAGTTATTTTCTATCTTTCAGTCATTTTATAATAAAATAAAACTCAATTTGACATTTCAATTCGTACTTTATAAAGTGATGATGCCAAAAAACATGTCTTTCTCGTTGGTAGTTTCATGATCTTACGTGGGATTCTTTATTAGACATCTCATACTCCTTTACAATATGGAGTTGTTGAAAGTAACAACAAAAATCTTCTTATGATTGCTTATATCCGTTTTCTCTATGCTCATATTTTTTAGGCTATGTTTGGGAGCTGTATTTAAGAGAAGAGGGGAGGGGAGGGGAGGGGAGGGGAAGGGAGAGGTTAAGAGGGCTTAACTCTTGTTTGGAGGTTACAAAAGCCCTCTCAACGCTTGTTTTTTGAGTTTCTTCAATCTGGGGGATTATTTGAGAGTTTTCTCTCTCCTATTCTCTCGTATTCTTTCATGATTAAGACTTTAACCTTTTTCTTTAATGTTAGTTTTCTAAGGGAGAATTTTTTTTTAAAAAAATAAAAAATATTAATTTTAAAATTATTAATTTTTAGAAAAAATATTTATTTTTTATTTTTTGTAAAAATAAAAAAAATATAAATAAAAGATATAAAATATAATAATATCATTTATATACTTAAACCTCTATCACCCTCTCCTTTCAATATTAAAGATCCAAACAAAGGAGGGGTTTAACCCCCTTCAAACCTTTTCCTTCCCTCCCCTTCCAAGCTCTCAAACAAAGCCTTAGGAGTGATGTTGTTCTTATAGTCTATTACTTAATTAATAGTATGCCTTCATCCATTCTTCATCAGGCATTGACCTCTCCATCTCTTGCTTTCTTGAGTCTTCAATTTCACTTATTTTGTTCATAATGTTATTCTTGGGCTAGATAAATTTTCTGCTCACTCCTACAAATGTGTTTTCTTTGGTTATACTTGGTCTAACATGCAGTCTCCTTATGCTTTCTTTATTAAGTATGTCATGTTTCATTATTCTGTCTTTCCTCAAATACTTCCTTGGTTTGTTCATTTTTTCTCCTTTTGATGAGTCTCTGGCACCATCTGCTTCACTTCGTGCTCGCCAGTTTAGGTCTATCAACAACAATAAGCCTCAGTGGCAGCACCAATCAACACATAACTGCCCTACTATTGACCTATTGACTTACCTTTGGTGTCACATCATTTGCCATCTCTAGCCTTGCTTTTGAGTCAAACCTTCCCATTGTGATTCATAAAGGTATACATTTTACTCAAAATCCTTCTCATTATGTTAATGAGTTATCATCGTTTATCTCCTTATTACACTTGTCTCTCTTTTTTGTCTTCTATTTCCATGCCTAAGTCTAGAAGTGATGTCCTTGCTCATTTTATAAGTCATGATTGATGAGATGAGTGTGTTCCAACAGTGGTACTTTAGATTTTGTTCTTCTACCTCAAAGAAAGGCTATTGTCAGATGCTGATGGGCCTAAAGGCTTGTCTTGTAGCCAATGCTTACACCTAATTTTTGTTTTTGGATTATGATAATATTCCCCTGTAGGCAAGATGTCTATTCACTTATTCTGATCTATGGCAGTCATTTGTCATTGACTCTTTCATCAATTGGACATTAAAAACACCTTCCTACATGGGGACTTTTTGAAAGAAGTCTATATGGAGCAATCTTCTAGTTTCATTGCTCAAGTTGAGTTTGAGACTTGTTTATCGGCTTGGAAAGTCCTTATATGGTCTTGGGCAATTTTCTCGAGAATGGTTTGGTATGACTTAAAGTGAAGCTGGTCACTTAATTTTCTATCACTACTTTGCCATCAAGTGCATTTATCTCATTGCCTATGTTGACACTATTGTATCAGCAGGTAGTGACCTCTGGGATTTTACAATTGAAACATCTTTGTTATCACTTATAGACAAAGGATTTTGGGAGGCTTAAATACTTATTGAGGATAGAAATAGCTAAGTCCAAAAATGCATTGTAATTTCTCAAACAAAGTATGTCATTGACATTCTACAAGTGATAGGGTTGAGATGAGTATTAAATTTGTTAATACTCATATGAACCCTAATATTAAACTCCTATTAGGAAAGGGCAAGCCTCTTGCAGATCTAGAGAAATACAAAAGGTTTGTGGAAAAAATTAAAATTATTTGTGTTATTCGTCTTGATATTTCTTTTCTTGGAAGTGTGGGGAGTTAATTTCTTAATGTTCCTTATAAAGAAGAACATTGGGATACAGTTATTCACATCATAAAATTTATCAAGGAAACTCCCAAAACAAGTCTCTATGAAGACAAATAATACTCTCAAATTGTGGGATATTTAGATGCAGATAGGGTACACTCCTATAGATTCTGGTCCACTTCTGGATACTGTGTTTCCATTAGTGACAACTTGATCTCTTTGAAAAAAAGGAAATAAAGCATTGTTGCACGATTAAGTGCAGAATCAAAGTATCAAGCCATAACTTTAGCCACATGTGAACTCATCATGTCTCAAATAGCTACTAAAGAAATTGATGTTTGGAGAGATACACAAATGACCCTATTCTGTGATAATTAGGCTGATCCTCATATTGCCTCAAATCTAATTTTTCATGAGAAAACCAATCACATTGAGATAGAAAAGATTTTTTTTAGAGATATTGTTACTTGATTTTGTTAACTGTAATGATCAATTGGTATATATCTAATGCATTATTTCTAAAATTTTTACAGATGTAAACAACTATGATAAGTGCACCAGTCATTTTAAAGAGTATAGAAAGTTATCGTTTCTACGAGGATTGAACCAATTAGTCAATGGTATACCTTTAAATCTCTGGTCAAACTCAAAGAAAATAAAACTATACATTATACTAGTAAGAATTATCTGAAAAACATTTTCAATTGAGGAAGTAATTTTGAGATATTATATTCTGAAATGATGCAAATGATACAAAACAAATGCGATGAACAACACAAAGCAACATAGTATAACACAACAATTGACACATGAACACATGATGTATAGAAATTCTTCTAGATCTCACCTCATGTAGAATAAATATCCATTTTAGTGTTCATACAAACATTGCGTGATCTTTGATTATATTAATCACATTGAAGCTTTAATTCTTATGTCTAGGCAGTTAGAACAACAATGAAACTCACTTCAAGTCTAAATATAAAATCAATGTGTCCATCCAAATGAAGCATTAAGTAGAGAAGTAAAATTATATAATTTTTATACAAAACTAAAACAGAAGTAGCAAATTTAATTTAGATCTCTAGTATTCTTTGCATTATCCAGATTGCTAGTGTAATAAAACTCAATGTTTTGGCATTCTATCCTAATTCGTAGTTAGTAAAACCTGACAGCTCAGTAAAATTTAACTAGGAACATGTGTAGCATTTAACAAGTACAATGCAACTTTATCCCATGTTCTAGCAATATAAAAACACGAAAGACTTTACTCCAAATCTGAATATTAAACTAATATGTTTATTATGATTAATGATTAAATCATACAAGTGACTTAAGTTTGTTGATGCATTAAGAACATGAGTAATCCTTTGCAAAATGTTAGAAAATATGAATTAAATTTAATTGCAAAAGAATTACATAAAGTTTAACTTAGAATCCATTTTACAATAATTTAGAAACACAAAATACAACCACACAATGCTGATAGAAGAAAGTTTTAGAGGATTTGGGAAGACACAAGATACAACCCTAAAATTTAGTGTTGGAATGAGCGAGTACTAATATTCAAGTGCCCAAGCAATATTATGGATACTACTCGTTGATGTAACAAAAAATACTTAAAATAACTATATTAATTTTTCCTTACACACATTTCATTCACATTCTCAATCGCATTATACACAAACATTAGATTTGCACACAAACCCTACTACAATCAAGTTATCCATCACACTCAATATCAACCAACATAAAATACATCATATCCAGTGCAAAATACCAATCAACACACGTGTTTCCACATCCTATTTCAATCATATTGTCACACATAGCAAAATAAACGAATCTCTAGCAAAATGAGATAGGGTAGAATCTCCCCTTACCTCGAAATAAAGATACACACACGAAATCAACAAGGAAGGTGCTCCCCACACGAATTTCGTTCTTCAAATGCTTCAAACATGATTTCAACCTTCAATCTAACTTCTAAACGGCTTTGGAGGCAATTTAATCGGCGAAATAGGGTTTTGGGAAGAGAGGATTAAAGAGATTTCGAAGGGAGATATGAGAAATGAAATTCCCCGGACCCTAACCCCTTTAAATCCTTTTCTGGTCGCGACACTCTTACTACAACGAGATATTCTCAGAAGAAACTGCACTCTAATTTCTGCAGAATCTCGTTACAGCGAGACTGCGCCCAAAAATATACTCTCCACTATCGCCCTCTCGCTGTTCTCTTGCTACAGCGAGAATGCAACCGTCTCACCCTCTTCTCCCAGTGCCTTCTTGCTACAGCGAGAATGGCGTAGATTCATGCTCTTCGCCTAGCGCCTTTTCGCTACAGCGAGAATACCTTACAACGCGCGTGCGTGTACACACATTCAATCAATTCCAGTCCAGTCGCAATTCACATCATATTTCAACCACACTATGCGGACCTCTTCACAATCACACATTCATACATGTCACACATATACACATCATCATATACATAAATCAAACATACAAACGTATGAAAATCCACATACACACTTATATTAATATATCAAATATCATTACAAAGGACATTACAAAATTAGTGTCGTAATTTATTGGTTTTTTCAAGGCATTTTCCTTTCCAATTTGTCCTATAAAATAAAAAAAGCTTAAATTAGTTAAATTTATAATAAATTTGCTTAAAAATTATAATTATTCAATAACTCGTACTAAAGTAAAACTGGCTTAATTTATAAATTTTTAATACTATTTTAAATAAAATTTAATGAATTAATTTCCAAAAGATATTAAAATAGAGTAAAATATTAGCTTTAATGTGATTTCATCAATATCTTCTCTAAACCGTTAAGGGAGCCTCTATCGGTTATATATCACAAGCTTGATGTATCGTAATTAGCGTGATTTTAAATAACTAAAAATCTAGTATTTATTATGAATTATTAGTATAAGTAAATTGCTCTGCTGTGTATTCAGACGCACTGGCCTTATGCCTTGTTTCTCTTTCTCACAATTATCATTAGCTGCAATAAAAATTCATTACTTTTGACAACAATTGGAACACCGTGGAAAGAATAGATGGTTCCTACTTTTAAGACAGGGCATGCTTGATTTGACAAAAAAAGGTTGGACAACACAACGATACTTGTTCAATGTTTTACTTTAATAATTGCCATAGGACAGGATAAAACAAAGACGAAACATAGGACAGAAGTCATAAATACCCAATGCAATCTTCCTCTTATCACTAATTTTCTTCCAAGTATCCTCTTCCTCAATCCTCCTCCATCCTTTCTTCTACTCCTGCCCAGAACTACGTGTACAATATCTTCCAAATAGCAGAAAAATAAAAAACCTGTGTTATGACTCAGCTGCTTGCTGCTTGTGTTGTGCTTCAGTTTGCTTCAAGCACGCCCTTAATGTGCTTGGTCTATTTTGTTAAAATGCAAGTTAAAAGTTTTTATAGTGGGAAACTGACAAAGGCTTTAAACTTTATACTTTCTGATGGATGGGACCATTTATTCCCTATGTGGCATTTAATTGTTTCAGTCGTAAAATTTTTATCCAATGGAATGATGATGTTATTATCATATATTTTAATCATTTGACAGGTTTTTCTCTTGCATTCTCCTACACATGTGAGTGAAGGTGATGATTTAAGGGTTTCTTTTCTAATGAATCGTTCAAAGGAAAATCATCGTTTAATGGAGGTTGAGCTTGGGTGTGAGATTCAACAGCATTCTGGCAAGCTTCTTGTGCCTTTAAAAAATAAGTACTACATTGAATGACAGTGTGCGTTCTTGTGCTCTGGGACAAAATACAAGGTAGATTCTGTTGCCGCCCTGTATGCGTCTTGAATGGTGATATTATATAGTTGCGTCATATACCTAGTTGCTTAGGTAGATCCTATTCTTTTTGGTGGAATGTGTTTTAACAGAGGCTTCTTTTACCCAAGAACTTTTAATATTTGAAGAAATCAGTGATATTACTGATGATAACTAATTATAGAACTAATATAAAACTTCGGAATCAAGCACTTCAACTTTACTTTGACAATCCTTTACATGTGTCAAATTGGATAGTTTTGTTTTTTCTCAACAGTTTTTATTTATTAATAAAGTTGAAGTTCTTTGCCAGTTTGGGTTTTCGAAAAAATAAAGCAATTATTCCTCTAACATGATTTTTTGTTTCTCATCAGGAATGAGGAGCCCCTGATTTGTGATTGTGGAATTGTGGGGTTAGCGCTCTGGGTGAATTGAGTTTATGATAAAGTTATAGACAAAAAGCAGTTGCGCCACTCGTTATCACAATTGCACTTCATCTAATCATTATTTGGTTGACTTACGATTCACAGGACATCTATAGCATGTATAAGAGATGGTTCGATAACCCACGTACTGGTTATCTTTGCGGAGTTTCAGGGTTGTCCTGAGGCCCTTTTTTTATCTTATACTGAAGTATGCATGAATCGATTACTTGTGTGATTTCTGATCTATTTTATTTTCGTGTTCCATTCTACTTTTCTTCGATATTTATAATATAGGATGAGACAGTATAGATGTTGCGATATAATGGATACGGAGATTTCCATGTGTCGCATGTCCCGGATATGGGTGCACAAAATCGTCATCCCTAGAAACAAAGATTTTGTTAGTTTCAAACTTTTTAAATCAAGTCATTTAACTTTTAGACTTGTTTAAACAAACGGGTTGAGTAAGTTTGAGTAACTTATTTCTTTCACAAATAAGTTTGAACTAAAGTGTGTGACAAGGATCAACCTACCCATTGAATTTTCAGACCTATTAGGATTTGATACATGGGATTAAAATAAAACAAAACATGTTCGGTAAGAAATGGCCATATCTCACGCTATACGTATCAGATTGGAATGATTTTAAAATGCGGTAAAAGATCTTGTTCTGACTATAAAATTGAGTGATATTGCGTTGTTTTGAATGAAACTGACGAGTTCTGAAATTTGGGAATTGTTTAGGAACTCAAAAAAAATGTAGAATTGGGAATAATTAGGTGGAGACAACTTAAACATGAAATAGAGATTGAATTTTTGAAGATGCTACGAATGAGGTTTGATAAGTCTGAGATTGTTAACAAGAAAAAACTTTCTTTTTGGTAAGATCAATGAATGTAAGAAATACTTTAGCAAAGAGAGAACTCTCACAATTAAGAATAAAATTCATATTCTACCTTTGATTCTTTAAGCTTAATAGTTTAGTATAATCTTGTTTACGCAAATTACGAGTTTGTTCCATTAAAAGTAAAATCTAAATATTTATCCTTTAAGCAAAAAGCATCAATGAGATGTTCTAGTACTTAAAAGGAACATATTTAACTTCAAGTACTTTGAGTTTATATCTTATTGTGACCAAAATATTTATATATTTACGTCCTTTATTAAAAATCTAAGTCTTAGCAAGTGTTTCTTGGGCCTTCTTTGATTTAGGTCTAGTCATTGGCTCTCATAATGGATTATGATCTTGGGCTTTGTCTCCATTGATGTTCTCATTATTCCCTTATTCTAAGAAATTATTTGTACTGTAATCTTCAAATTCGTCATCTACATGAAATGGAGTATAGTTAGTCATATTGAAAGCTGCAATTACACCATACTAACTTGGCAAATCAATTTTATAAGCATTGTCATTAATCTTGGCCAGCATTTGATGGAGACCATCTAACGATGCATAATCGATTAAAATAATGAGAAATTAAATATAATATGTTAAGTTAACCTAAGTCGTGTTCCTAAGGAATATTGGATATTGATTGAATATCAAACACTTTCTATGCATTATGTTTAGAAAAAAGGGAGTTTTCAATTTGATTTGATTGAACAAAATTAGAAATTGAATTGTATAAAATTCAATGTGAGTAACTGATCAATTCATTGATTAAAAGTCTAACCTAGAGATCTTCATTGGATTCAAATTATTCTTCTCAATTATCAAAACCTAACCTCAATGTGATTACTGTAGAATCAGCATTCTGAATTTAATATTAGTTCTAGATCAAACAATTAAGCACTTCTTGATAGAAGATTAACATTTCAAGCATAAAATCTTATGAATTCTGTAATATCTTAAATTTAATTTTGAAATAATGAATTTCGCAAAATGGGAATAATAAAATTTTTATTTAAATATATTCTCCCAACATATAATTTCACCAAAGCATTTCAAAATAATAAGAGTTTATAAATTTGTATTGAATAACTGCTACAGAACTAATTCAACTACATCATATTTTCAAAATAAAATTGAGGCCTTATAACAGTGTCATTCATCCTTTCACTGAGTCCGGTGCTAATCGTCTTGGTCATCTAAAAAATACATGTAACGGTGAGTACTCTACACTATCATACACACACCAACAAGCATAGAGTCTCACCTTCCCTATTCTACACATTTTCTAACACGTTCCAAACCAAACATCAGCAATCACAAGCAACATATTTCAATATTCCATTTCAATCTATAGACAGGTGTGCTTATTGCACCAACAAATATCTCACACATGTGCGCTCACTATGGCACTATGATCACAGTTTCACACCATGGTTGATTGCTGGTTAGCCCCCACCTCACGAATACGACGTGTGCAGTCACGAGCCTCTCGACAAAGGTGTTAGTCAGGAGATGAGTCAGGAGGAGAGTGTGCGGCCTGTGATGCACCCACGCTCACTGTTGGTACCACCACAACCCTCTTTTCCCCAAGGTATTTTACCGCCCCCATCTTCTACACTCCTAGTGTATCGCTGAACCATTCACAGCATTCCAACATATTCAAACACAACCACATCTACATTCACGTTTACATTCGACATGCCATCATACACTTTTCCATCATTTCATATCATACATCATCAATCAATGGCATATCTACACACATTTCATTCACATTCTCAATCACATTATAGACAAACATTAGATTTTCACACAAACCCTACCACAATCAAGTCACCCCATCACACTTAATATCAACCAACATAAAATACATCATATCCAGGGCAAAATACCAATCAACACATGTGTTTCCACATCCTATTTCAATCATATTGCCACACATAGCAAAATAAACGAATCTCAGCAAAATGAGATAGGGTAGAGTCCTCCTTACCTTGGAATGAAGAGTTACACACAAAATCAACAAGGAAGGTGCTCTCTACATGAATTTCATCCTCCAAATGCTCCAAACGTGATTTCAACCTTCAATCTAACTTTCAAACGGCCTTGGAGGCAATTTAATCGGTAAAATAGGGTTTTGAGACGAGAGAATTGAAGAGATTTCAAAGGGAGATATGAGAAATGAAATTTCCTAAACCCTAACCCCTTTAAATCCCCTTCTGGTCGTGACATTCTTACTACAGTGAGATATTCTTAGAAGAAACTGCACTCTAATTTCTGCAGAATCTCGCTAAAGTGAGAAAACTCTCGTTACACTGAGAACGCAACAGTCTTACTGATACACATTTTCTATCGTAGTACTTAAATGGTGTAATTCAGTACTAGGTAGTTGTAGCAAGTTATAAAATGTGAAAATCAGATTGAGTCCCAAGTATCGTCCTCTAGGATCTTATTTTTTAATCACCAATTCACAAGATAATAACCATTTGCACCAAACAATTCATTGAACAGATTTCAATATGCAAGAAAGTAAATTTTAGAATTAAAGAAATGAGAAATTGTTAAAAACAAAATGTTAATTTGTACTATTTGAATGAATTACGAATGGAGGAAAGTTAGGAATTTATTTCACTAGAATATCAATATCAATTCAGTTTTTCCTCTGAACATTTAAGCAATTGATTGATTGACAATCGGTTTCTCTTTACAATAACAAAAGATTGATTCCTCAACTCATTGGTCCTAATATTAAACCAAATCTCCCTAATTCCTTAGGCTAAATTTAGTTCAATATTGCATTACGAATTAGAACTAAAAGATTGCAAAACTAAGACCACTTATCCCTAAGAAAATCAATAGTTTTGAGAATTAATTCAGATCCAAGCAACAAACCCAATTTTCATTAGTGCAAGTTACTCTTTGATTAATCAATTGAATTTTCATTCAAAGATCAAGTAAACACAGAATTAATCCCTCAATCAAATCAAATACTCAAAGTTCAGAGTCAAAACGAAATCAATATATCAATTCTAGATCCATAAATCTTTAACAAAAAGAGTTAGAAACACATTACAATGAAATGGAGAGAAGCAAGAAGAAAAGAAGATGAAAAGTAGAGAGCCATCTCCATAACTTTGCCTTCCCCTAGATTCCTCTAACAAAGAAGAACAAAAGTCGCTCCTCTCTTCTCCCTCTGACTTCCCTTGGAAGTTAAAACGGTTACAAAATGAATACCAAAAACAAAAAATGATAAAAAGCTCCTTTTCTAAGTTTCTAATTCCTATTTATAGAGTTCCTCTAATTCTTCGATTTAACCCTTGAAATTCTAATAGTTAGTTGTCCCCAAGTGTTCTGGAAACTTCTAAAAGTGATACAAAAGCTCCAAACGTCCAGAATTGGCAAGAAGAAGAAGTTATAAAAATTGCAGAATTCTGCGCCAAAACGTGCAGTGGCTGGAGTGAAGGCGCGCGGTTGCGCGCCTTGGCTGCAACTACTATGAGTTGCAACGCGCTCTTGCACACCAAGGCTTCAAGTGATGTGCGTTTCAACGCACATCACTTCAATGAACGCTTCTTCCATGTGCTCAGCTCTGCGTTGCTACGCCATCTGCTATGTGTTTCCACGCTCTATTGCGCGCCAAAGTGTAATGCCCCGATTCTCCTGATTTAGCTAGCGACCCTTGAATCGTACTTTCTTGCTTATTCTGGTTCATTAGTATCGGAATAATTAGATAGAGGTTAAATTATTTTATTTTGATAGAATATTGATTTATTTCTAAGTTCAGTATTTTAGGGTAACTGCATGCAATATATGGTTTCAATATCGTCCAAGGATTTCTTTGAGTATGTTCAGCTGTATTGTCTGCAATGCCCCTGATAATTTTATCTGGAAAATTTAAACTTTTGTCTTATTTAAAAAATTGTCAAATCAAAATTATCCGCCTTGAAAAACGTGAGATTTTGTAATCATTGCTAAGATTTTGTAATCATTTCTTAGCCGTCGAAATTCTGCACGGAATCTCATGAAATCTAGTAATCATTACTGTAAAGATTTCTAAATCTAGTATCGGCCACTAGAATTTCATGCAAAAAGATTCTTGCCTCCCGATTTGTAGACATAATTATTCCGAAACTTTCTTGTCTTGTCTTCTGAAAGGCCGACATCATGATTACTTTAATTAAATGCTTTTCTTGAAATTTGCACCATGTCAAATGTCCCTTCAAAAGTCAATCTCGTCACATCAAATTCCTCGTCGGCCAATCACATTGCATGCATTTGCTGCCTAGAATCTAGCCTTTAGAATTTTGTGCAATTCTTGGAATATTCTACTCCAAACCGTGTGCATGTAGCCTCCGCATTCCTCCATGCATTTTGCTTGCCAAAATGTATTTACTTAACTTGGAAATTTGCAAAAAGAATTCACTATTCATGCACAAAAACTGTGGCACCCTTATTATTCAAGTTTTTCACCAAATTTCACTTCCAAATTGCTTCAAAT